CACACACACACACACACACACACACACACACACACACACACACACACGCCCCCTACAGCCCCCTATGGCTTCCGCAAGGCCCCCTACACCCTGGGGGCACGTTATGGCTTGCGAGGGGCAGCACTGTGCCCAGAGCCTGGGCATGCACGTTCCCAGCTTCTGACACCCCCTGGGAGGGGGGAGGGGAGGGCATAGGGCCTGCTCCGGCTGATGGTGTTGCCCTGGCCCTGCCAGCAGGCTGTGGCACTGCCCAGACCCCAGCTCTGCCCCCTTGGGGCTGACCCCGTGCTGGGCAGGTCCTGCCAGCACCCCCACCTGTGCCCAGCCCTCGCCTCAGTCCATCATGGCCTCCAGCATCTCCAGGAACAGCTTGTGCATGGGCACCTTGCCCTCCAGCTTCACCCCATAGAAATGGGCCAGCACTTTGCCTGCCGTCTGGCGAAGGAGCGGTAACGTAAGCAGCAGCCTGCCTGCCCGCCTCCGCTCAGCACCCGCTCCGGGGCCCGCCCGGCCAGCTTCATACTCCAGCAGGGCCTCGTGTAGAGCTTCTCGGAGCTGCTCCACAGCCTCAGCATCTTCAATGTGCACAGAGTCTGCAAGGAGAGGCGAGGGAGCTGTTGACGTGGGCCGTCTCCAGAGAGGGCAGAGCCACACCTGCCTGGGCACCGCTGGATGGGTCTCAACCAGGAGCCAGACGAGGATTTGCTGAAGCACCACCCACTGCTCCTGCCCATCAGCCAAGGCCCACCCTTTCTCCCTCGGCTATGGCCACCTCCTGTCCCCATCACCTTTTCTCTCACTAAATGGTTCACCTTTCCACAAAAGTATGGACACCAGGGTTCAAAATCCTGCATGCAGTTCCTGGACCTGTGCTTGCCCGGCTTTGTGACTTTCAGGAAGTCACTGTTCTTTCTTCACCTAAGCTACAGTTTTCCTTGTCTGCAAAATGGGACTGTGCCACCATCAGAGTTAAAAACCAGAGGGCCTTACAAAGAGACCTGTCAGTACTTGCCCCAGACTCACCTGAATTGGCGAGGGCTAGGGCCTTCAACAGAACGTATTCCTCGCGTTCCAGCCGCAGGGCCTGCAGTCGCCGCACCAGCTGCAACAGGGCAGCCCCCAGTTCCCCCAGGCCAGCTGCTCGAGCCCCCTCTTCATCCAGGACCAGGTCCTCGGCAAAGGCCAGCTCATCCTGCAGTGGAAGTGAGCGCTGGGCCACACCCAACACCAGGACCTCCATCCACACGCTCTGCAGAACTGACATCTGGTCAGACAGCGACAGTGACGAGAAACCTGCAGGGCAGTAGGGGGCAGAGCTGGCTGAGCAAGCGCACCAGAGCAGCCATGGCCCCGCCTACCCAGGGAAGCCCCACATCGCCTGGGCCCTCTACCTGGGATGCTCTTGGCCCAGCTGATGGTGACCACGATCTCTCGGTCAAAGAGGTCACAGAGGGTAGCCACGGCTGGGAGGTGTCCATCAGGGCCCGCTGGGTCGGGCATGGCATACAGCTTCTCAGGCTCAACCACCAGGAGGTGGGACACCAGTGCATTCACCGGGGCTGCAGTGATAGTTGAAAGTGGCACTCAAATTCATCACCTTGCCAGCACTTCAGGGTCAAGCATCTTCCCAGAGTCAGTCCCCCTGTGGCCTTCCTCAATAGCCACTGGCCAGCCAGGCTCAGACACCTCTCTCCGGGAGGGGCTACACTATCTCCCAGGGAAAGCGTCTGTTTGTGGACAGGTTCTGAGTGTCAGAAAACTCCCTGCTCCCAGCTGTACTGCTTGAGGCCTGACGTGGAAAAGGATATTTTCGTAAATACTTCTTGGGGAAAATGAGTAAACGAATAGATGAAGGGAAGATTTGGGTCCCAGTGCCCAAGATAACTACTATCCCGGGTGAATGACGTCAGACGGGTCTCCCATGTCCGAGCTCCACCCCAACCCCAGAGCCCCCAAAGACCCCACTGTGCTCTCACCTGTCTTCCGAGGGCCTCCAGCTACTGCCAGAGGTCCAGCAGGGAAGGGGCCTGGGAAGGGCAGCGGGTCCACCTCTGGCCGCCGCTTGTACTTCTGTCGCCCACCCCGGACACGGTCCAGACGCACCCCTTGAATTGTAGGACAGGGCTGTGTCCATGGGGCTGGGGCTGGCCTGCTCTCCAGAGCCCACCTGCCCAGCCCAGTCCGCCAGGAACTTCCCAGGCCTTGCCCAGCCCAACCCCCTGCGCCCAGCCCCCACGCCTTGCCCAGGCCCCCGCCAGCGCTCACCCTCCTTGAGCATGCCCACCCGCAGGCACTTGGTGAAGCGACAGGCCTGGCAGGCCTTGCGTCTCCGCTTGGTGATCTCGCACTCGTTGGAGGCTGGACAGCTGTACTCGATGCTCCCTGCCAGGAAGAGGCAGGGCTCCAGTGGCGGCCTCCCAGGGCCCGGAGGAGGCCCAGCGGACAGGAGTCCCCTGACTCACCCCAGGTAAGCACAGGTCTGGGGAGAGCAGGAGTGCTGTGAATGGGGCAGGGAAGCCCGAGCACTGAAGGGAAAGGCCACTGGGCTAGGGGCCCTGGCCCGGGCAAGGGAGGGGCTGGGACCAGAGGAGTCGGGCTGCACCTGGCCCAAGCTTCTTATCAAGTCACGTTTCTGGGCTGTGCTGCTCTCATCAAGGGCCACAGTGGCCTCCACATTGCTACATCAAGCGGTCAATTCTCATCCTTATGTCATTTGGCCCAATGGAGCATCTAATGCCATTGATCCCTCCTAGAAACACTTTTCTTCTTTTGCTTCTAGGAAACCACACTCCCGGCTTTCCTCCCACCTCATTGCCACCTTGTGGTTTCTGTGCATCGGCCCACGCTCCTTCCATCGAAGACCCCTAGGGTGGCCCTCCGACCTGTCTCCACTGACTCACTCAAATGGTGATCTCACCAAGTCATGGGCTTTCAAATCTCCGTCTCTGGCCTAGACCAGCCTGAACTCTAGACGTATCCCACTGCCTCCTCCTGCGCGCCTGGAAGACACTACAAACTTAAGCCGCTCTAGATGGAGCCCCCAACCTACCCCTCCAAAGCCTGCAGCCGCATGTGTCCAGCTGCTCAAGCAGAAATCCAGGAGACATTTTTAATTCCTCTCTCACACCCCAAACCCAACCTACTGACAGATCCTGGTGGGCTTCACCTCCTACTATGTCCAGAAGCACCCCTCTTCTGCCCCTGGCAACTGTTTCTACCCTTGACCAGAGTCACTGTCACCTCCCCTCCTGCTCTGTCTTTGCCTCCTTAGGTTACTGTCAACACAGAGACATCCTATTAAACCTAAGACAGGGAGTCCCCTAGCGGTCCAGTGGTGCATTTCTCCTCACAGCCTGCTTTCTCCTACAACCTACCTGGGCTTCTTCAGCTCAAGACACCTCTTCAGGGAGGCACTCCAGAGTCCCAGACCCAGCCAGGTTCCCTGGCACACACCCTGCTCCTCGCCCTCCGGCACTCACCGCAGCTGTACTGTAACAGCTGTGTGCATTTCACTGTTTTCTCTGTCTCTCCCTCTGCTGGAATGTAAACTGCTTGAGGACAGGAGCGATCCTGCCTTAGTCCCAGCTATGCCCCCACACCTGGAACAGTGGCCAGGACAGCAGAGCACAAGTTTGTGAAGAGCAAGGATCCTGGAGGCTGCCACTTACCAATGGTGTGACCTTGGGCAAGTCCCACACCTAAGCCCTCGAACCCTCAGTTTTCCCATCTGTAAAACTGGGATGATTAAAAACTACTTCTGGGCTTCCCCGGTGGTGCAGTGGTTAAGAATCTGCCTGCCAATGCAGGGGACACGGGTTCAAGCCCTGGTCCAGGAAGATCCCACACGCAGCGGAGCAGCTAAGCCCGTGCGCCACAAACACTGAGCCTGGGCTCTAGAGCCCACGAGCCACAACTACTGAGCTCACACGCCACAAACGCCGAAGCCTGCGCGCCTAGAGCCCGTGCTTCGCAACAAGAGAAGCCACCGCAGTGAAGAGTAGTCCCCGCTCGCCGCAACTAGAGAAAGCCCGGATGCAGCAACGAAGACCCAATGCAGCCAAAAATAAATAAATTAAATAAATAAATAAATATAAAACTTTATAAAAAAAACTACTTCTTACAAAGGTTAGTTGTGAGAACTAAATGGGAAAATCAAGGTAAGACATTTAACATGGCTCACAGCACCTAAATGCTCAATAAATGATCACTATTTACGGCTAGTGCTCGATAAATATTTGTCAACAGAGAACGAAGCATTCCAGGGTGGGTAGGAGACACCTGGACCCGGACCTGGACCTGTTGGCTCAGGTCTTCAGGGCCAGAAGGGAGCACGGAGCTTTTAGACCAGCGGGTCTCAGCCAAGTCAAAACTTGCTAGAATGTCACAATCAGTCGTGAGGCATCTGTCCAAAGTTCAGTTATTAGTAATAAGCAGAGGCAACAGTCTGGCCTTTACGAGCTTAGCTCTGGACCTCAATCGACCCAAGTTCATATCTTGTTTCTGCCATTTTTCTACCTGTGGGACCTGAACAAAGTTTTGAAAACCTCTCTGGGCTTCAGTTATAATAGTGCTGGCACCTTAGAGATTGCTGTGTGGGTAACTGAGAGCATAAACGTAACAGGACACAGTGCCTGGCACTCAAGAAATGTTCTCAAAAAGGCTACATGTTATAACCCCCAAGTAACCAATGGTTTATATAAAAATATAAGTAACGGGCACATCCCAAATATCGCTTATTACATCACCATCTTGCTCACTCGCATTTTGATATGCTCTCCTGAGTGAGAAAAACTCAGTGAGTACTACTGGCAGGGATGCCTAATAGTCTTTTTAAAGTTAGGTGCTGAAGTACGACGTAGCCACTCTCAGTTACCCGTAAAAACCTGCCTTGTGCTCGTGCTGCTTCGGGGAAATCAACACAAAAGGGGGCATATTCTCTGCTGGTGAGAGGCCAGCAGCTGCAGGAAGCAAGAATAAAGTTTAGGAGTAAGCAGAGGCTGCTTTGAATTTTTCAGAGCCGCTGTGGAAGGTGCTGGGCCTGGAGTACCCAGAAACTTAGGAGGCATCTTGAGTCCCACTCTCACACCCCACATCCAATCCATCAACACATCCTGGTGGCTTTATTTAACATTTAAGGGAAAGGACGTTCCTGGGAGGTAGGAGGGCCTGGGAACTCCAGGCTGCCAACCCCAAGTGGTATCACGGCAGCCTGGGGGCCTACTGCCACCCAGCAGTGCACCAACTGGGGAGCGCCAGGCCCAGAGGGCAAAGGGCACAGGAGCGGGGTGGGGGCTCACCCTGGATGGTCCTCTTGAAGAAGGCTTTGCAGGCCTCACAGGATGCCACACCATAGTGGTAGCCGGAGGCCACATCCCCACAGACCAGGCAGAGGCGTTTGGGCAGGGAGCTGAGCACCAGCTTCCCACCACCCTGCTCGCCAGGCCCAGCCCCCTCCCCATCCTCCTCCTCCTTGTGGCCTGGGAGGCATCGGGTGGGAGCTGGGCCAGGGGCCAAGGCCACGGGGGGCTCAGTCTCAGTCTCCGAGGAACCCTTTGGGCTGTCAGGACTGGCTGGCTCTGCCTTGATGTAGAGAGGCTCAATGCCCACCACCTGGCTGGACATGGCGCTGGTCACCTGCGGGAAGAGACCCGTCAGGTCACAGGGAGGCCCTGGGATGGGGGATGGAGACACCCTGTCACCCTGGTTGCCCAACCCCAGGCCTGGGGCCAGGCTTCCAGGCTCAGCAAGAGGGTGGGGGGGACAGAGTCCAAGGAAGGCTGCCCATGAAGAGGCCCCCCCCCCCCCCCCCCCCGCCCGCGACTGTTGCCATGGAAACAGAGTCTCCAGAGCCAGTAACTGACAGCCGGTCTCCCACTTGGGAAACTGCAGGAGACTTGGAAACCCCCTACTCCCACCCAGGCCAAGGAATAGGGTAACCTAAGTGCCCAAGCAACCTTCAACCCCGTCTGGAATCCCCAGCCAGGAGTGAGATACCTCTCAAATTTTCTCCAGATGTTAGAGAGCTCAGTGATCTCCCCCACACCTGGGTATCCTCCATTCAAGAGAGAAACTAAACTGAGGCACACAAACCCAAGGGTAGTTGATGTGCTCCACATGTGTGCGTGCGTTTACACCCTCACACTCCCACTCACCTGGGTCCTCAGGTGTCCTCACCTGCACACACACGCTCACAATCACTCTCCTGGGCAGGTTCACGCTCACACATGTCCTTTCCCAAACCCCAGCACTCACTCATGCTCCCGTTTGCCTTCGCACACTCCTGAAGTGCACACCCCATAACAGTCACACCCAAGGCTCATAATCACACTCTCGCTCACACACTCTTACACTCTCACCATGCCCCCACACTCACACACACACACACACACACACAGGCATAGTCCCTCGTGGAAACACAGTCAGAGCCTCTCACACCTGACACATCGCCACCTCCAGCCCCAGGCACACCAGCGGGCGTGGCTCCACCTCCTTGCACCCCCTCCAGCACATTCGCTCTTACACTCCTGCTGCCGCAGAGTCCTCCACCACGGGGCGCCCCGCCCCCCCAACCTGCGCACACCTACGGGAAGTTGTCTAAAGTTGCTGCGCCTCCCCTCCCCCTCCGCCCGCGGGGGACCTCTATCAGGTTATCAGGAAGTAATGGGGGAGCGCCAAGGAGGAGGAAGTTCTCCCCTGCCAGTGCGATGACCTTTGACCCAGAGAGGAGGGTGGCCCTAGGCCCCTTCGAGCGCCCCCACGTGGTCTTCAAAGCCCCTTCCCCGACAGAGAACCCTTCCCATCTTCCAGCCCGGCCCTCCCCTGGGACTTCGGCATGCTCCAGGTGCCGGATTGAGCCCTGCCCTGGGACTAGATCCGAAGCCCAAGCCCGACTCTGGTCTCAGGCCGGCGCCCTAAGACCTGGACGCCATATCCCGCCCAGACCCTGATCCTGTCTGGCTTTCGACCGGGTCCCGACAGTGACCCGGGCCGGACCCCGCCTGGAACCCGCCCCCCGCCCGCCTCCCTGCCCCGCTCGCACATGGCCCCGGCGCACCGCCCGCCCACCCTCCAGCGGCGCTCCCCTCCGCCCCCGGACCTGGGGCCCCGGCAGGGCGGGCGGGCAGGCATGGGGGCCGAGCGGCCCGGAGCGCCGGGGTGAGCCTGGGGCCGCGGGCGGCCCCTCCTCCGCCGCCTCCTCGGGCCGCGCCGCCCTGCCGCGCCGCGTCCCCTCACTCGGCGGCGCCGCCGGCGGCTTGTAGGACACAAAAGGACATCGCGGCCGCTTCCTACTCTGCTTCCTCCAGCTGACAGCGGGGGCGGGGCTGGCCGTGCGCATGCAAAGCAGGGGGCGTGGCCCAGCGCCCTATGCTAATCAGGCAAGTGGGCCGAGCAGCGCCTGCGCTCCGGGACGTGTCAGGGCGGAGCCGGCGAAGCCAGCGGGCCGGCCTTCATGAAGGCCTCGCCCAGCCGCCGGCGAGCCGCAGCGGCGTACTTGCTTGCGTATATGCGGCCGCTGAGAGGGCGCGGCCAGAGGAGACGCGGAGAGGCTACGGGAGGGGGTGGGGCCAGGAGCGTTCTTACGTAAAGAAGGAGGCGGGGTGCGCTGTGCGCAAGGGAAATGGGAGAGGTAGTTCAGCGGCCGCCTCTGAGGGTCCGGGAGATGATATACATATGTAGATGAGAGGGCGGGACCTGCGCGGGGGGGGGGGGGGTAGGGTGTCTGCATATGCAGGAGGGGCGGGGCCTAGCACGCCCAAATTAGATAGGAGGTGCTGTCCCTTTCCCTTTTCCGCCTTCCCCCAGGATAACACAATCGGGGCACTTGGACCTCTCACCCAATATCACCACAAAGCTGCTGAACCCGGAGTGGGAGAAGCAGACCTAATGCATGCAAGAAGTCCTGGATTTCGAGTCCCGGGAAGGCGGAGCCGATAGGGCCCGAACCGAGAACGCTCAAGGTCACTGCGGTGACCGAGTGAAGGTCACAGGGAAAGGCGGGGCCACGTGCGTCCGCCTCACGCGGGCAGCCACGCATTGACTCACGGACCATGTACAGAAGGCTCTTTTATTTCTCTAAGGCTCAAAATCCACATGGACAGGGTCGGGCTTGGATCTGGGACCAGGGCTGGAGTCGGGCGGTCACTCGAGCCCGAGGCGGTGCTCTCAGATCACCATGACTTGCAGCCTCTTGTTCCGGCGCCTCTTGAGCCCCTCGATGTATCGCTGCAGCTGCTTGGTCAGGAAGTGGTCCCGGCCGATCTCCGATCGGTAACCTGGAGGGCAGAACCCAACTCAGGGCAGTGAGCAGGGGCATGGCCTCCCCCAGCAGCTGGTCTTTGTTCTTTGGGGAACTTTGGATCTCCAGGGTACTGGGACCTGCCTGTTTGTTTCGAATGGTCAAGTCATAGACCTGTGCTCCAAACAGATGGGGGATTCAGAGTAGGATGGGGGTGTTGGAGTGGAGGATGGATGAGGAAGGCAAGTTTAGAGAAGATGTTGCCGGCCTGAATTAGGGCACTGGGAGCAGACAGCTTTTGGGACACCGCTTCGACCACCCAGTCTCAGCCATTAGCCCTCCCCACCCCACCCCCACATTCATAAACTAAGCAGGGCAAATCAAAGGAAGTTTACTCAAATAATCCACTGTCCAAAGGCTCCTCACAGCAACCAGGGAGGGGCCAAGGCCACAGAAAGGCTGTCATCCCCAATGGGCAAGTGAAGAAATAGCCTTAGAAAACCTACATCAGGTTGAGAGGGGCTGCACTGAGGCTAGAGCCCAGGCCCTTGACAGTCACCCCATGCTGTCCCCACTGGGTCTCCCTGTGCCCAGTCTCCTAACTTTTTACTTTTAATGGGGCTTCTGGAATATTTGTGGGTGGTAAGGGAATCTGACAAGGCAGACACATCCTGAAACCCCACTCCCACAGGCCGAAGCCCTGCCAAATCCCCCAAGGTCTCTTGTGGGAGCTGGGGGGATGGGGAGTGGGGAGGCTCACTCCGGAGGGCTTTGGTGAGGATTTCCAGAGCTTCATTCTCCATGAGTTCAGTCAGGGGCAGGGGCAGCTGGAGAGGCAGCAAGAGACTCAGATGTACAAGGGACCCCAGCTCTGCCCACAGCTGAAATGCCCCACCTGCTCCCTCCAGGCCCAAGACCCTCAACCGACCTGCCTGCCCCTCCACCCTGCAAAGCCCCCCCACCGTCTCACCCCTGAAACCCCCAACTTGCCCATCCCCCACCCCCCCATTAAACTCCCCAGTCTCCTTGGGTGCCTCCAACCCTGCTCTGCTGCTCCACCCAGTAGGCTCGATGGGGTGTGTGCTTCGAGATATTGAGCGATGACACTGAAGAAGACTTTTCTGGGAGAAGAGTAAAAAGGGATCAGTCATCTGCAGACTGCTGAGACTTCCCTGGAGCAGAGGGGATGTATGGGTAGGCATGTTGGCCGGGGTGGGGGCGGGGGGCCTTCAGAGACCAGCTCCAGGTGCCACTTTAGTGGGAAACAGGATGGGACAGTGGTTTAAAGCCTGGGCTTTGTTGTCCCACCCTCCGAGGTTCCAGTTATGACTGCCCCACTTTGTGAGACTTAAGGCCAGTGACTGACTTTCTGACCCTCAAGTTCTTCATCTGTACAATGGGATAATAAGAATGGCGCCATATGGAGGTTGTGCAGTTTAAAGGCGATCATGCAAGGGAAGCCCAGTGCCTGGCACAACAGCAAGTGCTCAACAAATGGCAGTTGTTATATTGTTATATGTTCCAATTCCCTGATGAAGGGCTGGAGAGCAGAGGTGGTGAGGAGAAAGGGGAGGCATGTCCCAATCTGCGCACAGCGCAAAGTAGGAAGTAAATACTTAAAAATTGTAACCAATGACTTAATGAATGAAAGACAGGCACCTCCTCAAGCAGCGCAAATCCACAGAAAAGGCATTAACTCCCTCCTTTCAACTCTCCGGGTGATTCCATTAAAAGCACAGGTCCTACCGCGCTCCCTTTGTTCATTTTCCTGCTCGTCTCTATGACCCCAGGACTTTGTACGACGCCTGCCCGGTAGGGGGCGTTCCTAGAAGGTCTGGTTGATTTAAAGCGTGGAAGATTAGCGTTGGCGCCCCTTCCAGGGAATCCTAGAAACTTGGGTCCCACAGTTTTCCCCCATTTAACAGCAATAGAAACTGAGGCCCTGGCCATTGCCCTGCCCTGTGGGCGCCCACAGCCCATTGAAGCCACACTGACCGTCGTCGGTCTTGGAATCGTCCTCCTCTAAAGGGCCTCCCAGGGAGCTGCCGCGGCGCATCTCCAGCTCCATCAAGGCGTGCTCGTCCAGCTCCTCTGGCTTGAAGCTGTCCTTGTCCTCTCCGTCATCCGATTCTTCCCAGCCACCGTCCGAGTCGTGGCCAGCCTTCTGGTTGTAAGACCAGCGAGTCTTGCCGCCTACGCTGCTGCCCTCCAGTTCCGAGTCCTCACGGACAGTAGGCAGCGGTACATTCAGCTTCGGCTGCGACTGCGTGGCCGTAGTCCACAGATTCCGGGTGTCGTGCGGGCTCGACTTGCCTGAGCCACGGTGGCCCGAAGACTTGGCCAACGCCTGTAGGCCACATACACCGAGGGAAGCCAAGGGTCGTGGGGAATTGGGAAGGAAAGGAAGAGCAGGCTGGGGTGGGGGGGGCGTATCCTGAGCCCATCCAGGGCCGAGACTCAGTTGCCGGGGTGGGGATGGGGAGGCGGTGATGGTTGGGAGCTGCCCTGAGCCAGGGCTGAGTGAGAGGATAGCCAGGGAGGGGCCCAGGGTGGACCTAGGATGAGTCTGGGGGCTGACAGGGTGAGGAGGACCAGGAAGAGTTCTTACTTTGAAAGGCTTTTCCTCCATGGCTCTGCCCCAACGGACCCAGTCGCCAAAGGCCTCGGGGCGAGGAGGAGGGGGTCACGCTCCAGGAAGGGGGAGGGGCAGGGTCCCGTCCAGAATGGCGATGGGGGTCTCGCGCGGGGAAGGTTCAAGCTACAGCCCTCCACACTAGATGCCATTATGTCTCCCCATCCCTGCCCCCATAGCTGTACTGAGGATGGACGCACCGCCCATCTTGGCAGATTCCCATGCCAGACCCTATCCTTAACCTCCAGGCAGAGACACCGGTCCAAGCACAGACAAGAGTGCCACGCCTTGACCGATGGTTCGGGTGGTGGTGGGGGGGAGGGTTCGGCCTGGGGGGCGGGGGGGGGGGGCTGACTTGCCCCGGAGGTGGCCCGATGACGCAAGCACTCGCACACCCTCTCGCGTCCCCGGAGCTCCACGCCCGCAGCGATGCAGACTGTTTTCGTTTATTGATGTAGGCTTTGAGGCACAGTCGTGAGATGTTGTGAGGGACAGGCCCAGACGGACAACGAGACAGAAAGCCTTGGGGTTCTGGAAATGGATGAAGTGAGGAGGGGGCCAGGAGCAGAGAGTGGCAGACAAGCAACCCGCAGCCTCCTCCCCAGGTTTCAGCCGGGTCGGTCGAGAGAGGGCTCTTTGGTTAAACAAGCAGAGCATGCCGGGGAGAGAGCAAGAACGGAGCCCTTGGAGAGGCCCGGGCAGGGGTCTTGCCCCTACGCGGGCACGCCTTTGTCCCGGGGGCGCCCCGGGCCGCGGGGCCGCGCGGGCTTCCTGGGGGTGTTGAGGGGGCGGCGGCTGCCCCGTGGAGCGCGGGGCAGTGCGCAGCCGCGCTCGCTCTGCGTGTCCGAGGACTCGTCGATGAAGGCCAGATTCTCGCTGGGGTAGTCCAGCGCGGAGGCCGTGGGCGGGGTGGGCGGCGTGGGCGGAGAGGGTGGCTCGGTCTTCTCCGGGGCCGCAGGGGATAGGGGTCTGCTGGCGGGCTGCGCTGGGCACGGCGGCGGAGGCTGGGGGGGCCGCTCCTTCTCCGGCGGCGGTGGTGCCGTGGGCCCGACTCGCTGGGTCACCCGCGCGGTCACCGTGCCGGTCCAGCTGGCAGCCTGCGCCGTGAGGCCGCCCATCTGCGCGGGGAGGAAAGGCAGTCCTCGACCGGGGCTCCTCGACCGTCTCCGCAACCCCGGGAGCCTGCCCCTTCACCAGTCAGGCATTGCCCCTCTTTTCCGCCTCGTCTTCCTGCCTCAGGAGTGGGAAAAGGCCGGAGGAGGGAAAAGCTCATCACCCAGCCACATGCTCTCCCCTCCTCCATCTGCGCGGAAGTGCCCTTTTCTCCAGAAGAAAGGACCGACCGGACTTTATTTCAGCTCTCCCTCCCGTGCCCCCAGAGACCTTTGCGCCTCCCCCCTCTCCACGGCCGGGAGCAAGGAGTGGGGCTACAAAATATTTAGAACAATAAATAAAAATACAACAACAAATAAAATTTTAGTGTAAGTATGTCCCATGCAATATTTGGGACATTTATACTCAAATATTATTTGCAACTTATCCAAAATTCACATCAACCGGGCTTCCTTTATCTTTATTTGCTAAATCTGGTAACCTTATCCATGAGAGTAGAGATGGAGTCACCTGCAAACCTGTCAGAGTTTATCGCTTTGTTCCCGGCCGGTGCGCACTGGGGCTCCCTCAGTCCCTGCCTTGGGGAGCCCACACTCTGGAAGGGAGGCAGACTAGTCAACCTGCTGCTGGTGAGCAGCGCATCAGCGCCAGGGCGCAGGCGCGGTGTCGACGCAGGGGCGCCTACCTCTGCCCGAGTGCGGCGGGACACTACTCGCAGCCAGTTCCCGATGGTGGTGAGCACTGAAGCGAAGTAGGCCAGGCCGAGTAGGATCCAGAACCACACCAGCGGCTGGTAGGCTGCAGAGTTCTGGTTGGGGCTGGCTCCTGGGACGCCACGGGGAGGGCAGAAAGAAGTTGATTGTGAGACACGCCTTGAGCCTGTGAGTCTCTGGTTCACTGCCCCTCTTCCCAACTCGTTGAGAGGATCCGCCCTCCCCAGGACGGTGGGTATGAGCTAGAGTGCGCGAATGGATGCAAGAAGATGAGTGGGAGTGACTTGAAGGTGTGCAAGAGAAAAGTGGGGTGCTCACGTGCAAGAATGTGAGCATGTGTGAGGGGTGCTCGTGTACAAGAATGTGGCACGTGTGAAGGGGTCACTTAATATGTGTGAGCATGCGTGGGGTGCAAGCATGCGAGAACGTAAGTGGGCATGAGGTGTTGGTGCATCCCTGGAAAAATGTGAGGGTGCATTCAGTGAGTGGATGTAGGGATTGGAGCAAGCACGTGTGAGCGCACAAGCGCCCTGTGGAACCTGGAGGGAGAGGCAAGATTGCAGAGCCCCTGGGCAGGAATAAAATGGGTAGGGAAGTGCAACCCAAGAAAGTGGCCTCACCGGCCACATAGTCCCCGAAGCCCACCGTGGTGAGCGTCACCACGACGAAGTAGATGGCCTCCAGCTTGCTCCAGCCCTCCACATAGCAGAAAACGAACGTGGGCGTGAGAACGAAGAGCAGGCAGCCGATCAGCAGAAAGAGCACCGCCGATAGAATTCGCACCAGCTCTGGTGGCACCTGCCACTTCTGCAGGGAGGGCAGTAGGCAGGGCCGAGGAGTCACCAAAACCTCCAACTCTCACACCCCACAACCCTCTTCTGGGAGCCCGTGTCCGAGGTTCGCGCGATTCAGGCGCCCCCCGCTCACGTGCCGGGTGGGTATGTAAGGAAGTGTATCCCGAGCCCAACGCAAGGGCGCGCAGGGTGTGGAGCAGCTCACCAGGAAGATGGCTTCGATGTGACCAATGCCGCGGCGTAGGGAGGAGCCCAGCCGGTCCCCGACCCCTGCCAGCAGTATCCCGAACAGCGGGATCCCCACCAGTGCATAAAAGATGCAGAAGAGGCGGCCAGCATCTGTGCGCAGGGCCGCGTTGCCATAGCCTGGGCAGAGGGGTCTAGGGGTCATAGCAGCTCTAGGGGTTGCCTGGCACCCCCCTACCTCCCCCTGCGCCTTCGCCTGTGAGAAAGCCCAGCCACCCCGTGCCCCCTCCCATGACCAGTCCCCTCCCCCACCGATGGTGGTGATGATGGTGCCTGAGAAAAAGAAGGCGCTGCCCAGGTCCCAGGCTGAGTGGTTGCTGTTACTGGTTGAGTTGGTGTCAGGGTTTGCACCCCCTCCCAGGGCATCAGCCACCTCCTGCAGGACAAGATGCAGAAGGAGGAACCTCAGTCCTTCCCTCCCGTCCTAGCCAACCCCCTGGCCGTCCAGTCTCCAAGGTGTTTCCCTCCTTACCCCTCCCACCTCTCCCCTGCCCTCTGGTCTCCCTGAAGGCAATCCCTTAGAGCAGACATTGCAAATTGGAGAGCCCAATTTTGTTTGACCAACACATTGTTTTAGAGACATTTGAATTATCGGCCCCTTAATTTCATATAACAGATTTCCAGTTTTACAGTGGTCAGGAGCACAGACTCTGGGACCAGACTGCCTGGGTTCAAATCTTGGTGCTAGGTGAAGTTGAGCTGTGCATCGATTTCTGCATCTGTCATTTGGGGATGGTGATAATAGTACCTACCTCGTAGAGTTATTGTGAAAATTAAAGCACTCACATCAAAGCAAGCACTGTGTGTTTGTGAAATTAGTCCCCATGTAGAGATCGTGCCCAGTGAGTTCCAGCTTTCCACAGACCCCACCAGTCCCACCGCCCCTTTGGAAGCTGAGTTTGAGTCCCTTGCCTTCGAAAATCTGATGAAAGTTAGGGACCCTCCCTCCAGGAAGGTTCACATACCAATAAAGTTTGCATCCAGTTTTAGGAGGGTCATGGATACACAAACCCCTGCCCACCCTGCTGAAGTCCAAACCAAACCCTGTGCTACATAGTAGGTGATCAATAAACATGATTAAATTAATGAAACGGCCATGTGTCTGCCCCTCTTGACAACCAGTCTGCCTCCCCCTCGGAGGCGGAGTCTGTGTTTTGAGAGTGCCTGCCCTAAGTGATGGAGGTCAGAGCATATAGAGGAGGGGGTGCAGAGGGGCCCTTCCCCAAGGAGCACAGAGCTAAGACACAAGTGGTGTGATGGAGGTCAGAAACCACATTCTTTCTGACTGCAAGTCCTCATTAGCAAGACACATTCCAAATTAATCTTCCTAAAGTGACGGCCCAGAATCTCCGTTGTTCCCTGCTATCTGCAGAGTAGAGTCCAAACTCCCCAGCCCAGCCTGTAAGCCCCTTCTCAGTCCGGTCCCACCCTCCCTTTCCCCAGTCTTCACTCCTGGGACCCCCATTTTGGAATTCAAGTTACAGTGACCTTATCCCCCAATTTTCTGAGATGATTCCATTTCCTGAGATAATTGTTTAATACAGCCAAGAAGTGAAAGGTATGATTAAAAGTGGTTTAATTTTATTCTGCAACACTTTTCCAATACATTCACTACTTAGGGGAAAAAATCCTTTGTCATTCTGTGTGTTCTAATTTTTGCTTCAAATGACTAGGCATCTGTTAAATCCAAGAACTGCAAAACACTCTGAGCTTTCCAGCCTCCACGCCTTTGCCCATGCTGTTCCTCTGCCTGGGAGTCTCTTTCAACCCAATCACACATCCCTCAAATTCTACCCATCTAACCTGCTTCATTTCAATTACCAGCTCTTCCCAAAGGCCCCTGGCATCTCCCTCCTTGCCCCCAGCACCTAGCCCAGGACCCAGCATACAAGAGGCATTTAACAAAGAAGGAAGTAATGAAAGCTCCTTTTCTACTAAATCCTACAGTGAACTTTCCATGGATTTGTCCCTTCACCTAGATGTAACATCCTCTAGGGTAGAGTCTGCATCTGTTCCACCCCAATATCAATTTCCCTGCTCACTCTATGGTGTACAGCACAGCACCTAGCACATAGTAGGTGCATAATTGCTGCATGACTATTTATGGAAGAGAAATAAAGCAGCTGTTGCCCTCCTTGCTTGGTTCTGCCCTTCCTTTTCTTCTTCTTCTTCGTCATCGTCGTCTTTTTTTTTTTTTTTAATCCAGGAAAAAAGGAATTCCTTTGTGAAGATAAAATAGGTCAGATTCCCTCCCTCCTCCTGCCCTGTGGTCTGGCCAGGCACTCTCCTACCCAGGCCTCTCGGAGCTTTGCTGGGCATTCTGGAGGTGTCAGAGACAATGTCAAGCTGCCTGTGTCCTGGACCCACCCCATCCTCATCTCTGCTCCAGGTCCTGCCACCTTGGGAATCAGCTGGAACACCGAGGCTCCATGTTGATGGCTCCTCCCTCCAAAAGAAGGAGCAGGAAATAGGGGTGCCTTTCAATAAAATAATAAACATGAATGTATTAAAGTTAAATGTTACTTTATTTTTTTTTAATATGACAGTGGCTCAGAAATCAGAGAGAGAGCAGCAGAGGTGCTTGCCTGACAGTAGCCCAGAAGGCTGCAACCCACACTTTCTTTAGTCATTGGTCCAAAGTTGACCCCATCCCTGACTCGCCCTCCCTCTAGCGTCCGCATCATAAGCATGTGTCCTGGTGGGAAGGTGTGCTCAACCTGGCATCCATGATGGCATGGACCAGCTTGGCGGATCCTGAAACCCTCCGAAATCATCAGTACATGTTTATATGTGCACTTTTCTGGAGGTAGCGGGTGGGGAAGTGTTCACAGTGTTCTTGGGTTTCTCTGAGGCATCTGTGACTTCAAAGAAGCATAGGAACTAGTGTAGGGTTGCCAGATTTAGCAAATAAAAATACTGCACGGGACATATTTATATTTTAAAAGTATTCATTCTTTAGCTGAAATTTACATTTAACTGAGTGTTCCAGACTTCATCTGGCAACCCTAAACCAGTGAGTTAGACCTGAGAAAATGTAACATATCTCATCTGCTACAGCCATGTATTCATTTCTTCCTTCATGCGTTCCTTCATTCAACCACTATCACACACGGAAGGAGCCATTTTAGGAAGATAACCCAATGCCAGGCACAGCAAGGAAAACAAATGCCGCCCTGGCCGCCATATTGAAAACACAGAGACCTGGATCCCAGCCTCTGCCCTGCACCCCCCAGCGGCACCCTGCCTTCAGGGGTGCGGGTCTGGAAGCAGCTCCCCAGCACAGGGTCCCAGTGGCATGCAGCTAGTGTCAGGGGGGCACGGGTGACTGCTGAAGGAGCTCTCCCCCACCCACGCACCTTGATGAAGAGCCCCAGGTCCTGGTCGCTCACACATGGATGGGCCCTCAGGAACTTCTCTCGGACCTCCCCCAGCTCCCTTTGGGCCTGCTGCTCATGGGGCTGTTCCAGGGCCTGGAACACCAGGGCACCAGACACCAAGTAGAGCAGGACCACAGCCAACAGTGCCAGTAGTGTGGTGCTGCGCATGGCGCGCCCAGAGGACCGGCCAATTCCACGGCCCGTCTGGGGAGGCCGGGCAGGGGGCTCCTGGGGAGCTGCAGTCACTGTGGGCAGAACCAGGGATGCTGGGATCAATAACCTGACCTGACACCCCTACACCCTCCTCCAACCCCTACACACCCAATGGTCTTGGAGCCCCCAGCCCTACTACCCACAGACGTCTTCTCCTCACATCCCTCTGGCCGGACACTTGGTACCAGGACACACCCAGTCCCCCCACCTCTGTCCTCCCCCTTACCTCCACTGCCCGGCCCTCAGCCCCTGTCCAGGGACTCCAGGGTGTGAGAAGATAAGAGGGCACCGGGAAGGAGAGTGGAAGGGGGAAAGAGAGACCGAGCCTGCCGAGGGAGAGGCAGGACGAGCGAGGAAATGCTGGGGGCGTGGAGGGGGCCTGGGGAACCCGCCTTCCAGCTGGAGGCTGAGGGGGCACAGAGGAGTGTGCAGGGCGGGGACGGGGGTGGCGGGTCCCGGCTCGTCCGCTGAGGCTGCGGCAGCATCTTCGCGGTTTCTCCCTCCCCCCCTAACTCTCCTCGCTCCTCTTCTAGACGCGATGGACCGGGCGGGGAGCCTCCAGGGTCCTCCAGCGCCCCGCTGGGCTTTCGAGGAACCCTGGGGCGGGTCCGGATCGCTGCGCAGAGGCGAGGCAGGGCGGAGGGGAAGGGAGGGTACTGGGTTCCGGGAAGCAGCGCGGTGGGGGCGACCAGGGCCGGACCAGTGCAGCATCCCCTGGACAGCTGTCAGCCCCCGGGACAGCGGGGGGCGGCGCCCTCGCGCACACACGCGGGCACAAAGACTCGCGCGCCCACGCTCCACCCTGCGGCTCCAGGAGGCGCCTCTGCCCGGACTGCACGCACACACACACTCCACCTGCATACTCCCCGGCCTCTCGGGCACACCGGACGCTCAGGGCCGTGCGCGCCGGGCCAAGGCCCCCAGAGGCCCACACACTTGTGTGCACACACTCACATACACACATACCCAGACCGCGGGGCCACCGCGCAGCGCCCACTGCCCAGACACCGCACCCCCGCCACTCGCTCCCACGACCTCCCCGCGTCTTCACGCCGACGCCTCGGAGCGTGACGGGCGGCGGCTGGATGCTCGGCCGCAGAACTCCCAGAGGCGCCCACGAACGGGGAGGTGGGCGCCTCTGCCGGCCGGTCGCCCCCTGCGCGCCCCAGCCCCGGAGCCCGGCCGGCGCCCTTCGCCGCCCCGCACTCCCTCTCCGCGCCAGCGCGCCCGCCCTCTCCGCCCCACACTCACTGTCTGCCCCGCTGCGGCTGCGGCTGCGGCCCGGGCTCCGGCGCGGCCTCGCCGGTGCCTGCCGGCTGGGCCGCGGAGGCGGCGGCAGCGGCAGGGGCGGAGCGGGCGGCCGCCGGTGCTGGGACCCCCTCCCGCCGCCAGAAGCCCCCCTCCTCCCGCATTTAACCCCTCCAGCGCCGCGCTTCCCTCTGCTGTGCCTCGCCCTCGCCTCCGGCGCAGCTCTCCGCAGACCCTTACCTGCGGCTGCCCAGCCCCCCAGTCCTGGCCGGTCCCAGGAGATGAGTGGCAGAGGAGCCCCGGAGGGGTCGCCGTTGGGTCAGGCCTGGAGTCTCAGACCGGGGCCCTGGTTCTGCCCTGTTGGCCAGCCAGCGTGGCCAGCGGCACGGCCCCAACTTGGACATCAGCCGGCTCACCTCTTCGGACAGGCTCCACTCTAATCTCCCAGCATCTTCCAGGCCCACTACCAGGTGGGAAGGGCCCTCAGCTCCCCGCCCCGAGGGACAGCCTGGCCCTTGGGCTCTGCACTCATGAGGGAGGAGACCCCAGGGGACAAAGGGGTGGGGGATCCCCTGAGGCAACCTGGAATTGGCCGAGGTAGGGTTGGGACCAAGCTCTGGGAAATCAAGGTGGGGCACCTCCTGCATCCCCATCTTTTGTTCCTCACTTCCATGCCCATCCCCCAGCCAGGAACGGGTGCCAGCACTCCCTCCCCCACTGTCTGAACAGCAGGGCCCTGGCAGGTCCTGGAACTCATCTCCTCTCTGCTCTTACCCATTTCTTTACAACTCTGATCTTGCCAAAGACCCTCCTCTTGCCTGGGGGCCTCACCCTTCACTTGGGTGGTTTTAAGCATGGGCTCTAAGGCTGGCCATCCTCTACCAGTAGGGGGCCTAGACAGGTTACCGAACTCTCCCCACCTCCCAGTCCTCACAGAAAAGGGATGACTCTCACCTCAGGCTGCTGTTCTGAGCATTAAAGTGGTTGGTATTTGTAAATGCTCAAAACAGAGCCTGGCACTCACAACTAAGTGCCCTACAAATGTTGGCAATTTTCCTTTCAACAAGAAGTGATGGTCCAGTTTTGAGCTGATTCTCTGAGTCTCAGATGCCTTCTCTGGAGGCCCTGAGGCCTGCTACTTAGAAGAGTCCCAGGTGAAGGGTTTCAAGACAGGCTCCGTGCTAGGCCCCAGGAACTCCCAGGAGCTGGAACAATTGGCCACACACATGGGCAGGAGACAGACCCTCTGATAAATGACTCCCGGCCGAGGGACAGATGACATCTGTAAGGGCTGTGACTACAGAGGGCAGTGACTGCACTATTAGGGACAGTCAGGGAAGGGGCCCCCCAGGACCACCAGGCAGGCTGTGTCGGGGCAGCCCAACCATCTGGCCAAATCCACACCTGCTAGGGAGATGGGGGCTGCTCGGTTACTGGCCAGCTTCTCCTCCGCAGGCCTTGGACTAACTCCTGGACCTGAAGGCCAGGTTGGGCATAATGACAGGGAAACAGGGTCTCTAGAAATGCCTACCCACTAAGGGTAAGAGGCATAGGAGGCATGCAATCACTGTGCCAAGGGACCCGGGAGGGGGGGACACAGTTCCCTGACCTGGAGATGGTAGGCTTCATAAAGGAGGTGAAATTTGAAGCAGATCTTGAGGAAAGAGTAGAAATTATTCAAGCGGCGAGGGGACCAGAGTGGGAGCAGGGTCCTTCTGGTCTCTCTTCCCCTCAGACTGCAGGCTCCTCCGTCTCCTAACCCACCAGCCTCAGGGGAGGTAAATGGCCCCTGCCCAGCCCAGCAGCCCCCCTCAAGGGCCGGTGTCTGATCAGCCTTAGACCAAACAGGCAACGGTGTGAGAAACACAAGCAGACAACTGACAGACAGTGAATAGACTCGGGGCACAGACACCGTTTATTGAGTGGCAGGCGCAGGAGAGGTAGCTGGCTCTGGTGTAGAAGCAGAGGTGGTAGATCATGCCAGGCTGCTATGAGCCTCTGGCAGCCAGGGCCATGCCCCCCATCCTAGGGGACAGCACAAGCTCACTACAACAGGAGTAGCAAGGAGCCGGCCTGGGAAAGAGGCAGCCACAGCCCCCGGGGTCCCGGGCAAGAAGCGGCAGATGAACTTGGCACAGGGGTCTAGGGTGGGAGGGACTGGGGTCTGGGTGTTCTGTGGGGAGATGAAGGGGGATCACGTCTGTGGGGTAGAGTAGAGACTGTGATGGTGGCTGCCTGGTCCCAGAACCTGGGAGAAGAGCAGAGGAGTGGTCCGCGTCTGGCTGCCCCCGCACCAGCCTGGCTCCCGCCCGATGGCACCGTACCAGCTGCTGGAGCCTAGGCTGCCTGACATGCTGCAGGCAGAGAAACAGGCTCAGTCCCACGGCAGTCACTAGGACCACAGTTGCAAGAGTTGGGGGAGGGAGAGACACCTGGAAGAGCCCAGTGACCCAGACCTCTCTGACTATGGCAAACTTCATCTTGGAGGGAGAGGTGGAGGCTTTAGCAATAGCAAACCACAGGGGACCTCACCTGGTACAGATCGTGGCACGGGTGGGGGTGTGGAAAGGCCCAGCTGTAGGTCCCCATGGCTCAATGGGGCAACCCGGGAGCCCAGGGGTCCTGAGGTGGAACCGGGACTCCTACCTGGTGCTCTCACCCCGGCTGTGCTCCCAAGAGCAGCCCTCATCCTCGCAGTGTGCCCGGTCGAAGAAGTAGGAACGGGAGCCAAAGACCTGCCCGTTGAGGATGCGGCTGGTGCTCTGGGGGAGGGAGCTGCCATTGATGCTTCCTCCTGCCCCCCACTGCCCTACCCCACCCCCCAGAACCCAGCCCAGGTACCCCCAGTGCCGCCCCTCTCCACTGGCCCTCACCAGGTCCTGCGGGGGCCGGTGCACCCGGAAGAAGCCCACCAGCAGGGTGGTGGGCAGCAGCTCCCACACAAAGAGGATGAGGCCAAACACCAGGTAGCCTTTGTTCCCCAGGTCGTTCACCAGGTCCGCCTGTGGGGAGGCAGGGGCTGTGCCAACCTGCGGTCGTGCCAATGGGGCACCCAGACAGGGCCCAGGCCGGCTTGGGGCCAAGAGCCACAGCTACTGAGGAGGCGGCAGACGTGCCGAATGCCCACCTGATCAGAGACGTTGTACCAGTCATAATCGAAGGCGTCCAGCCGGCTCCGGGGGGCCAAGGCCAGGGCCGCCAGGTTGTAGCAGGCCCGGCTGGCATAGAGCAGAACCATGGCACCACCCATCGCAGCTGCCTGGCACACGCTGGTCCCCTGGCACAGGTGACAACAGAGGATCCTTAGGGAGGGTAGGCTCCAGCTTTCTCTCTACTCTGAAGACCCCAAACACCCCACAGGACACTCAGGCATCAGCCCTTGTGGCCCTACCTTGGCCTCCAGGTAGATGCTGGTGGAGGGAGCCCGCCGGGCGACAAGGCAGAGGCAGGCGGCAAGAGAGAGTGCGCAGATAACAAACAGGGAGTCGCTCACCAGGACGCGCACCAGCAGGAGGGCCCAGGGCTGTGCCCGGCGCCGGCGGGACAGCACAGCACACAGCACATTCACCAGCAGAAAGAGCAGCGAGGCCCCCACGAAGGCCCCTCGGACAGCCAGCCTGCGGCCCACAACACGGTCAGCCCCAGAAGACCACCCCTGGCGCTCCCCCACCACCCAGCCTCCCCCAGGAGACCCCGGTGTCCATCAGAACCTCAGGTCATCCAGTCTGAACCCTGCTCCTCTAGTTTTACAGATGAGGAAACTGAAGCTAAAGGGGTCAGAAGATGACTGACGGCTGTGGTACAGCAGAAAGAGCACTGGATTGGGAGTCAGAAATCTGGGTTTAAGCCCTGGCTGTGCCTCCTGCCAGGTGTGTGATCATGAACATGTTGCTTTACCTTGCTGGGCCTCAGTGTCGTCACCTCTCAAATGGGGCTAATAACAGCTTCACAGGTAAGTTGTAAAAATTAAAGATGTTTGTGAAAGCTCTTAATAAACTGTGAGATGTTATACAAATGACAAGAGTATCACTGCCCAAGGTCACCCAGAAGTGCCCTTTGGCTTTGGAGTTTCCAAGGGCTGGAGCCTCCAACTCTTCCTCCATCATGGATGAAATTGGTACCCTCTCCCTTCACAGTATCTCAACTGTTTCTATTATAGTTGTCCTTCACATATGCAATGCCCCTGCTGAGCCATCTGCACCAGATGCCTAACTCTTCCAAGCTTTTCACAAATATTCTGGGTTGTCCTCGCCTCAGACCTACCAGGGAGGAAGGAATGGACACCGGGCTTCTCCCTGCCCCTGACCTGGAGGCTGAACCCACCAGTGTCCCGAGTACTTACAAGCCTCGGCTCATCTCTGGCCGACGCTTTGCCTTGGCCTTGAACACCACCTGGGAGCAGAGATGCCCATCATTCTTTGGGGCCCTTGGGGCTTGCCACCCCATTGCCCACCCCCACCCGTCACCATGGTTACCTGGGCAAAGTAGAGGTTCATAAGCGTCAGTGTGAAGAACTGGAGGCAGACAGGACAGCAGTAGAGAAGCCAGAAGGGCAGTGGCCCCAGACGGTTGGCTCGGGGTGTATCTCGAAAGTAGAAGGAGAAGAGGGTGGTACGCAAGGCAGCCCAGAGCAGACAGAGTGCCAGGAACACCGTCTGATAGCTGAGACGCTTGTGCCCATACAGGAGCACCAGCCAGAGCTGGGCATAGACGGAGAAGAAGAGCAGGGCGTACAGAGTGGTGTAGGCCGCAGTCAGCCCCAGGGTCACGGCGGGCGGCAGCGCAGGCACCAGCCCAGCAGCAGGCACCAGGCCAGACAGGTTACTCTCCATGTCAGGGAGGGCGGCCTGAATCCCGGAGACAGAGATGGAGGGGCTGGCAGGGGGCCAGGGAAATAAATA